CCCTGGAGAGGACAGAACAGGACAATTTGGGGTGTCTGAGTTATAAATCCAGGGGTTCGCACTGATTGGACAAGTGGCACTTGGCTGGGCTGTGCGTGTGTCCCAGGAGCTGGGCTCGGCCTGTCAGCTGATGGTTTCTGTGTCAGGTGCCATTTTAAGAAAGCAACAGAGAAGCTAAACAGGGAATGGGGGCTAGTGAAGGGGAACGGAGTGCGCCAGTCAGCAGCCCTCTCAGCTCACCGCCCTGGGAACAGCCCTGCAGCACTGCCCAGACTGACACCTTTGTAAACCAATCACATCACTTTGTGCCCATGAGCTTCCAGAGCCGGGGTTCTGCGGCAAAACCGGATTGCTTCAACAGAGCACTGGTTGTTCAGAATGTATGAGTTTGTCAGTAGACTCCATGCAGCCAAAAAGAATATGGGAACGCTCTCTCTCAGAGTACTGGCACTTGAAATCTATCTTCATCTGGATTAAGATATTCATCTTAAAAAAAATCCCATTCCCAAACGCAGCTTGAATCAATGTATAATTACTGAGATATGCCATCCCATTCTCAACCCATTAAGACCGGAGACACGAGGAACCTAACAGGTGATTTTATTTGACAAAGTTGGTGTTACTCATTTTTCTCTGTGTCCTGGGAAAACTCAATTAAGTGTAGTCCCCATTGGTCCCATCTGAGAATCCAGCACATTACTTAATGGGCATGAAAAATAGCCATTGCTGCATGGTATCTGATTTTTACTTGGTTAATTGCTAAACACCAAACAACCAGTGATCACTGCTTAAGGCAAAACACATGGCAGAAGCCACGTTTTCCCCCTAATAGTAATAATCTACTAGTAATATGCTACCACACTGATTCTTTTAAAATTATTGACTTAGACTATTAGTAGGAGAAACCTGGCCCCTTGAGGAATCAATCAAGCGCTTTCCTTTAACATATAAGGAGACTGAAGTCCATACAGGGGAAGGGGATTAACTCATTAACTTTTCAAAAGTCTGTGAAATAAATCAGTGTGATCTAGATGAAATATGAAAGCACTCTTAGGGAGAACAAAATTCAAAATGGACAATATAAAAGTTGCCGATACCATTTACCATCTGGGGAATTCAAGCCGGCATCTCAGCCAGGTGAATGTCTGGTTATTTTGGGTTGTCATGACCGGATGGGAGGAATTACTAGCATCTAGTAGGTAGAGGCCAAGGATGCTGCCAAGCACATGACAATGAGGAGGGCTGACCCCACAGCAAAGTGTGACCAGCTGCAAACATCAACAGTAGTGACGGCAAAACAGCTTGGATTGAAGCTCACCACCCAGGTGGGGGCCTCGCATGTGGGTTCACTCACTAGTAGAGTGAGTTCAACACCCACCACGCGCTGTGTCCTGGGCCCCACCAGAAACCACCTGGCCCTGCTTGTGGTTCAGGGGAGTGGGCCGGATGACTGAAATGCCACATGACAGGGTGAGCACAAATAGCTACTGATAAGCCAGGCAGTGGGGGGGCGAGGGGGTCAGGCAGGAGTCCCTGAGGAGGGGGGACACACAGGCCCTGGGACATGGGTGAAGAGGCAGCATGCAAGGTGGGGAGTGGTTACGAAGGGGCCCCAGGAAAGGACAGGAGTGCATGATCACGTCACAGGTCTGGGGCTGTCAACCACACATGTCCAGAGACAGTGGATGTCAATAAAGTCCATTGCTGGGTTTCCCAAAACTGAATTGTGCTGACTGGGTTATCCACAGACCCAGAAAGAAGGACACACAGAAGGAAGGGCCAAAGGACCATAAGGAAGAAGAAAAGTAGAAAAAGGAGAGAAAAGGAGAGAAAAAGTAAGAGGGAGGGAAAAGTGTGGGGAGAATGGAGGTTAGCAGCCCAGGGACCCTGGAAGGCACAGATGTCACCAGGCAAAGGGGACAATGTTGGTGTTAGAACCAGGGAAAGAAAGGCTACTGCTTCCCATCAGTGAGTGAACCTTGCTAGCAGAAAGCAAGCCAGTTTTCTCCACCATGGCCCCAGGTAAATCTGATCCCCCCATTTCATTCCCTCAGCGGGTGGTCTCATTGGAAGAATCCTGTGCTCTGGGACTGAGGAGGGAAAGTAAACAATACATCTGCATATCAAGACATGTGCACATTACAGGAAGGAGAAAGGGACATCTAGAAAGGGCCTTTTCAAAAGTTTTATACATAAGCTATACAAACTCAGTCAGGTTACAGAGGTAAAGAGATCTATTATGTACTGATTTATTTACTTCCGGGGTATGTTAAGAGACAGTGTTTCGATTCTTTGTAATGTGCTGCCACTTTTGAATCTTCTTGTGTCTCTGATGATTTATCTCACAGGCATTTTCTGAGGTTAAAGATCTTTCAGTAAATAGCCTTCGTCAATGTCTGCCTCTTTTTCTTTTTTCTTCGTCTCAAAGTGTTCCCCTGGCTAAGATTGCATTGTTTTCCCTCTCTTCTATCTTCCTAGTTCTATATTCAGTTTGGGGAATCCCAACAACCAAGTCTGCTGAGACCTGCCTCTGTGTCTGACCCTCAAAGCTGTTTACTTAACAGACAGAAACAAGCAATGCAACTGGACAAAATCAAGCGCCTAAGAGTCTTTTACAAACACAGATGGCGTGAGGCCCTTTGACTAGCCTGTCTCCATTTGCGGTATTTCCCTCCAGCTCCTGGCCCTGGGACCACACTTGGCACTGTGAGCCCTCTTTGCTGCTCTTTGCGGATGTGCTTTCTTCCATAACCCAAAATGATTCACGTTGGAAAGCCCACGCTCCAATCAAGGAAGACGGTCACTAACAGAACGCCACACAATGAGCCTACGAAGCAGCGGCAGAAGCCTGTCCTCACCAAGGTCCAGTATCATTTTCTCAGGGACATAAGACTTCCTCAGGAGAAGCAATCAGCAGACACCTCTCATTGAGCCAGCAGCGGTGTGGAGGTACCCCTGCCATGTGCACAGCTGCTCAGGAAATGCGTTTCCAGCTTTAGCTGTAACCCGCTCTTTCCTTGGGAACTTGGGGTTATATGAGATTTTCTGATGATGAGTGAGTGTGTGTTTTAAAGATATGTTAAGAGAAACTATGAAGAACTCTCAGATCATGTTTGATATCACATTTTTATGTTTCATGTAGTTCCTTTCCAGAGTTAGCTCTCAGGCATGATCGGGGGGAAATTAAAATACTGTTTCAAGAATCCAGGCCCATATTTTTCTAAGTGATAACATAACCAATTAATTTCACAGCTGAGTCTAATAGCTGAGAGTGCCGAGTTGATCTCCTCTTACGTGAGGAATCTTTTTGGGGAAAGTGATGGTTGTCAATCTTAATTTGATGCTAAGACCTTGAGAATTTACTGAACATATATTTTGAAACTTGCTCTTTTTACATGGCTTCATAATCAGGAATAACCTTCCCATTCAAATGCTTAATGTACCGCCCTTCAAAACGGTGCTGACCATCCCTAACGGCGTCTTCCTTACCTTCGATTTGCCCTTACTGTAACAGGCCTTCTTGGTGGCTTCATCACACTCCCACTCCACAGCCTATGGGAAACACCAAAATGACAGCAACCGTTATACCTCTGACTGAATAAAAGGGAAAAACTAATAAAGACGCCGGTAACAAGATGTGGAACTGTGGGCGCACATGACATGAGCATTTTCAAACTAATATAGAATTTGCACCAAATGCACAAAATTCAGTCATATGGGTTTATGTTTAGCTTTAAAACTGAAGCGCTTTAAAGGACTCACCCCATAATTATTATGTTCAAGCAGTGATCGTGGGATGCTTAGACCTAGTCACTGTCAGAGAGACACATGCAATGAGTTGGTGGCTAACACACTGATTACAGAAATTACCACTTTCGTGAAATCACAGAATAAATAGACCCATAGCATGCTTCAAAGGGAAGCCTTGAAACACAATGATCAAAATGCTCATGTAGACACTTGTATTTTAGTTTAATAGTATATCATCTATCAATATTCATAGATAATGAAGAAAGAATGATTTTGCCTATCATTACTCCCAAGGTCCATGTATAAATGATGAATAGTCAATAAAATAAATAGCTCATGCAAAAAGCACATCTATTATTTCCCCCCACTACCAGTAATTTTCATACTGTTATCAGCTAGCTCTGACTAAATACTTAGAGCCACAAATTTTAAATATTTTTTCTCAGACTTTCCAAATCTAACTCCTGCTAATCAATTTGATATGCACACTTTCACATCTGACGCCAGCTCACAAATGGAGCCTGTGATTAGTTAAGATAACATACAGCACTTAGTTCACAGGAAGAAACGATGCCTGTAAACATTAATGATCTATATGCTGAGGCTAGGCATCATTTTTTGAACAAATTTAACATCTGAGTTGTTTATCTTTTCTATTACTCTATGGAGTGTGGACTTTTATGGGGTAAAAAATGTTTTTTTCTCCATTCTGTACACCTGTTATTACAATTACGTTCTATCTTACTATTAGAGTTGGATTTCTGAAGTCAGGATTTACAAAGAAATGGTTAAATCATTATCAGAAAAAAATGTAAGCAAGGGGCAACTTTTCTATTGTTGTTAATTTGGACTAATGTCAAATAATAAACTAAAGGAAGCCCCCCAAAACAAACTAATGTCAAATATTATGAAAAAGAATAATGACTTCACTCTTAGTTCTAGAAAGATTTATTTTTTCTAATTCTCCTAAACTTAGGAGAATAACAAAGTCATGTTAACACCATTATCTAATATCTACTCTCCTCCCAGGAATGTTACATAACAGAGATTAAAACATAAAACACTGCATCTTGTATAACTTCTCTTACTTGGCAAATATGAGTCCATAAGAAAAGTATTCTAGAGAGAACACTTCAGTGTCTTTCAAACAGAAACAATACACCACTGTGTTCCCTTGTGCAGAGACTTAGAGATTTTTGTCAGTGTCAACATCTGACAAGAGAATTCGTTAATTCTTTCTGTGATGTTTTCCTGTTCATAATGTTTAATGGCAACAATAAAGTAACAGTTAATCAACATCTCCTGCAAAGAAATGACTTAAATCCCCTGGTACGATGACAAATACTTTCATGAAAAGTGGTGGCACTTCCAGAAAACAGGTAAGCACTCCACATACAGTTGGATAACTATCCCCATGAAGCGCAGATCACATAAATGCATTGCTGTTGATCTCAGTTTCCTTTCTTATACCATATGTCTTTAGAAAAGCTCACTCTGTTTTTATTTAAATAAAGATGCCATGCCTTTGCCCTTACTTAAACGCAAAACAGAATCAGTCCACTATTATATATACTTTTAGCAATACGACTTAGACTTTATATTACCAGAGGGTTCGGTGTTTGATATATCAGAGAAATTAGTGTTATATACTTACCAGGAAAACTCCACGTTAGATAAAGAGGGATACACAGTGGCCCTCACTGGTCTAGCAATAGTGCTCAATGTTAAACAGCAAAACTCTCTTCAGTAAACATTAAGAGCTGTGAGGAGCAGGGTTAGTCCCAGGGTTACGAGAAGAACATTTATCAAATGCCATCAAAATTGTTCAGATCTGTCTGCGAAATGGCAAACAAACAGCTTCCCACAGCTACCTAATGCCCAAGTAGCCTTTGCATTTTCAAGATAAACACTGGCCAAGGATTGGAAGGGCAAAGTGATGGGGAAAAGGACGTGAGAGTTTTCAAAACTATTTCATTACTTTATCCAGTTTTCCAAGAAAGAGCAACTGCTCACACAAGTTTACCAGACAAATAGAAAAAACGACGGCTTGCAGACTTTTCTGAAGATGGTTACTAAAAGCAGCAAAAAGTTACTTTTCTGAGGTGTTTTTATTACAGTATCACCAGCTTTCCAACAATAGTCAAATCCAGAATTAATTAAAGATCATGATTGTATAGTTTTTCTGTGGATTTACTGTCTACCTGCATAAAG